ATATATATATAATTATTTTTTATTTTTTTCAAATTATTTTCTACTGCTTATAGGTTTACATTTATTTTTTTAACATTTTTACATTTTTTTCTACTAGAACTTCTTTTCAATTAGAGTAGCTTTAACTTAAACCTAAAAGTTATTTCAAACGAATTAATTCTAATTTTTTTCTAGAAAAAAATGAGTATATTCAGGACTAGTTTCTCTGAACTGAAAAAAAATTAATTAAATTTAAGTCTTTTTAATACATTTCAATAAATTCTCGAGTGTTTGCGAGCTTATCTAGCATCGTTACTCAACTTAATATTTTACCTTATCATTTTCTTGAAACGTTTGAATTGTGTTAAATTAATTTTATGTAAAAGAAAACTCATTTAGATAAAGTTCCATGTTTAAACATTATCATCAGAGATATCAATGAAGAAAAAAAACTGAATTTACGCGGGAGAAATATAATTGAGAAGCTGTAAAATTATTTGTTTATTTCAATTTTCGAAGTACTGTTAAAAAAAGGAAAGTGAGATTAAAAGCTGTTTTAATCTGACTTATTTAACAAGTTTTGTTTTAGTTAGTTCTATCAAAAATGTTTTTAAATGATAGAAAATATTTTTTTTCCTATGCCCACCTGGGGATTGACCTTTCGTCAATACAGGTATCTGAAAGGCAGATTTGCTGGTTACTCTTTCAGGGCACCATATTAGGTGGGCCAACGTTGCTTCCACAGTAAGAACCTATAGTACAGAGAATGAAAGAACATCAATGTCTTGCCAGGGATTCGAATCCAGAACGTTTCTGATGCAAGGCCATTTCTCTGACCCCTATACAGTCCAGTCGGCATGATAGAAAATATAGTACCTACAATAAATAAATATATCCTTGAAAAAAGGGTTTCTCAAAATAGGACAAAAAGGAGTCGAGATAGCTCCGAAACAAGTATGGAAGAATTAGAAAACCTCATTACTCAATAATGAGTATCGTGACAAGCTCAAATCAATATATACTTATTTTTGTGCAAAATACATAGTGTCAACAACACATCATTGTTGTTTTCAAGACTATGCATATAATTTTGGGTAATATCTTATTTTAATGAGGTAGTGCTTAGTCTCAAAACTGGATATGTGCTGTTTTGAGCATGTCACAATACTCAATTATGAGTAAATGGGGTTTTCAAATTTGGCTATATTTGTTTTGAAGCTATTTTTAAAGATTTTTGCTCAATTTTGAGAGACCATTTTTACTATGTAGCGTTATTTATTTTGTGCTTGAATTAAAATGTTTATATATTTAGATATGAATGTAGATTTTTTTTTAAATTTTATTGCTTACTCTTACGATAACAATCTTACTTTTTATAAACTTTTTTTATTTGAATTAAATAAAAAAAAATATTTTTCTGAAATGAATAGTCTCAAGAAACGAAAACTCATTTATAAGGATGATATGTTTACCTATTAAGAATAAAATTAAGAAAAAATATGCACATAGGACGTGGTGATTTATTAATAAAAAAGAGAAAAAAAAATAAAAATGATATCAAAAATTATGATACACTTGTAAGTAAGGCAGCTCCACAAAGTAGCAAAACCTGTTTGATTACGGGGAAAAGATAAACAGGAATTGAAAGTTCATTATTAGGAGGGCCTTAAGGCGTCAAACAGAAAATAAGGAACTTATGATACCTTGAATTTCTTCCTTCTATAGTAATTATTTGCTTAGAATTCAAAAATGTTTTTGATTTTTCTAACTTAAAAATAAATTGCCAAAATTTGTATATTTTTCTTCAATTTTGAGAAAGATTTTAAAATTATTCATTATCATTGGTCTTTACCAAACACTTAAATATTTTTAGCAGCCTATCTTTCGATTACTGATTGCACCTAGTTTATTTATTTATTTTTTTTTGTCTGCTGAAATTCTCAAAGAACTTAATTCTGTAACAGCAACATTTTTCGACATTAAAGTAATTAAATATCTAAGAATCCTCTTTCTTTTACAGGTGGGACCAGCGAAAGATAACCATCCCATCAGAGCAGCAGCTCGCGTGTCCATCTTAGGTAAGCAATACGTTTCCTTCCCCCTCCTTGCAAAATTTAGACCCATCCCTTATGCCTTAGCCCCTCCCCTCAATCACGGTTATTAACACGCAAAAAAGCAGTCACGCATCAAAACACGGACCCTTAAAGGCTTCGTGGTAAGTTTATAAAAATGCCCCACTCTAGTACATACCAAGGCATTAATATTTCATACATAACTCAATTATTTCTGCCGCTGATGCATTCTTTTGGGTCAAAGGATATATTTTTGATTAATATGCAAGGGCTAAATTATTTGGATTATTGTTTAGAAAACTTGGAAGCTCTCAGTTTAAGGTTATTAGTTTGTACTTATCGCGTGGCATTGTAAGCATAAATTTTGATTTAAATAAATAGCTTTGTTTGGAAAAGTTATTTTTAGTTCCTAAAAAATTTGATTATATTTAAGTAGATATTCACGTGAGGCACTTTTTTTTTAACCTTTTTAGAGCGACATAGTATTAATTTAAAGGTGTGCTTAAGTTATTTGCGTCACGCTAAAACGATCTCAATGAATACAAAGTTGTAGCGGGGTAATTTAATTTAAGCATTTATCAATATTAAAAATATAAATGCAGGGTAAAGCGCAAAGAAAAAAATATCGGAAACGGTTAGAAATGTATCAGATTTTTTTTTTAAAAAAGTGCTTTTAAAACTAAATCATAAAAATAAACTAGATTATACGAGTATAATATTTTAAAACATTCTCTTTAAGGAGAAAGTTTTTATATGAAAAAGCTTCTGTATTTTAAAGAAAATGAAAAGGCCGCATTGTTAATAATGCAGGGATATATTTATTTAGGTAACAATCTACAACTTTAAACTAATTATTTCAAAATCAGTTAAAAAGTAAGGAATGCTGTAGAAATAAAAATCAGTATTTTACTTAATCAAGTGTTTTAAAGGAGGGCTTCATAGGGAGCTTCACAGGAGGCTTAAAGGGGGCTTCATAGGGAGCATTCTTATCAAAATACCAAAACTTTTTTCATAAACCCAAGGTGTTCTCCTTAATATATGTTTTGGAAATATTTTATTTATTTGTTACTTTTTTGAAAAAGAACTTTCAAGAACACACTCAGAAATAAAACTGTCCCATTTTGATGATTCAGCAATCCTTGAGCAGTATTTCGTTGATTTTGAGAATCATTTCGTTGCGAAATCGTGTGATTTGTGATGAAACGCGAACATGACGAAAATATTTTCTCATTTCGAAACCTCATCGTAGTGCATTGTGGAAAAGTATTAACTAAAATGGCAAAACCAAAGTAAAAACTACGTTCATTTTGTTACGAAATCGTGTGATTTGTGATGAAGCGCGAATATGGCGAAAATATTTCCTCATTTCGAAACTTCATCGAAGTGCATTGTGGAAGAATATTAATTAGAATGGCGAAACTAAAATAAAAACTAGAGAATCGAAAATAAAATGACGAATTAATCTAACCGGCTGTATTGTGGTCAAGGAGTTGGCTTCATACCAGGACTATCCAGGGTATGATTCCCGCTTTGCTCATGGGTGTTATTTATCTATTTGTTCTATGTGTCCTTGAAGTATTGTGCCCTCTATATGGCGCCCTCATTTATGTAATTATTAGAAAAGTTAGATACACTAGGGACTAATGTTTTTTTTCGGGGGGGGGATAGAATGACGAATTATTTATTTAAGGTTGAAGAAATTTCTTACCTCGAGTAGTAGTAGTTCATTTACGTCACACTAGAGCTGCACAATGAGCCATTTGCGACGGTTTGGGAAGCATCCCTGAGGATGATCCGAAGACATACCATCACAATTTTGATCCTCTGCAGAGGGGATGGCACCCCCGCTTTGGTAGCCCGATGACCTGTACGCGAAGTCGAGCACTTTACGGTAGAACAGTTTAACGAGGACCTATACCGCAAACCTTCGGTCCCTACGTAGACTGATCCAAGTGGTCACCCACCCATGGTGGTCACCCACCCACACACAGGCGGCAGCCAGTGATGCTTGACTTCGGTGATCTGCTGGGAACCGTGTCTTAACGATCAGTCTACAGCGGGACCTTGTTACCTCGAAGAAGTGGCGATATTTATTTCTTCACTTTGACGGAAGTTTTAGTCGGAGCATATAGAAAGAAACTGTTTCGTCACGAAGGAAATTTCGCGAAATCCGAGGATCTATTTTTTGCATAGGCGCTAATGCTTTTATTTTTTTGGGGGGGGGGATGGAATGACGAAATATTTCTTTACTTTTGTCGAAATGTTACCTCGAAGAAGAAACGATGGTTATTTCGTCACTTTAACGAAAGTTTTCCTCTGAGCATATAGAAGGAAATTGTTTCGTCACAAACAAGGAAAGTTTCGCGACATCTGAGTATCTATTTTTTACAGTGAATCGGACGTAATTTTAACAATTTCCAATTTTTTTATGCTCTAAGTTGCATGCACATTTTTAATATTGATAAATGCTCAAATAAAATTACTAACAACTTTGCATTTATTGCTAAACTAACTTCAGAATTTTGAGCAAAAAACAATGTGAAATTAAACACAGGTGTGGCTGATGAAAAAACATTGTTTTTGAAGTACTTTAAGACGAAAGTTAAAACATCACCTCTAGTTTAATCAAATTTACTTGATTTAACATTGATCAACTTAGTAGTTTCTATTGCACATACGAGTTTTTTTATTATTTTATATTAAAATAATTTCAGCACATTTTACAAAGTATTTGTCTAAAATTCAAGGTTTGAGACTTAATTAATCAAAAACTGTAGATGTAATACAAACCTTATTTTAGTTTTATGAACTCCGTTTAAAAATTCATTGTGTCAGCAAATACTGTCAACAATAATATAAGTGTCAAAACTTTTAAAAATGTCTCTCGTGAATTTTCAAAAGCTTATTTCATTCATTTTTAACGCAATCATTTTTAACTCGTCTCCTTTCCATTATTTGTATTAAATTTAGCACATTTAAATAAATAATTCCTTGAAAGGCAAATTACTGACTGACAAATTATGCAACTATTAATAAATTCAGATTTTGTACAGGCCACATAAGGCTCTATAATAATATTTCAGCGTTAAAATTTTAATAAACAAACAGTTTTTACGAGATTATTTTTTTTTTTACAAACGTTTTTCTTTTCTAATAGGTTTCAACCAATCAGAAAAAGAACTATTTAAATTTTGTATGGCTTAAATAAACTGCAATCAATTCTATCGAACTTGGACAAGTCCCATACATAAATACGATAATGAATCTATAGCGTTATCGCATTGCAAATTTACACTATATAGGTAACTTAATTGTTTATGAATATCACTTATGATACTTGTATTAAACCTTGCTTCAGTTGTTGAAACTTGTGTGAAAACAAGTTACATTTGAAAAATTCCGGTTCAAATTCCTGTGAAAAAATACTGACACCATATATTGATAGCCGGGAATATTTACCGTATTTTAATCCAGAATTTTATAGATGATCTAATAACAATCCAATTAGAAAATGGATATAAATACATATCAAACATTTTGGCAATAATGAATCCAAATTAATACGTAATGCAGAATAAATATTGAGTATTATACAAAACATTTGTTATTTTATTAAAGATATCAGTAATTATGTAACCTATTTAAATATAGAATGTACTTAAGAATTACAATGCGAGAAAATATACAAAAAATCTAGTAATAAACAATTAAAGCTCACAAGATCTGGACTGTTATACAAAATTACATTAATTATTAAGAATATTATGTAAATTTTATCTTTTTTCTTTGATTAATCTATCGTTAAATATAAATAATATATTTTAGAAAGAACTATAAATAATAAGTATATTTTAATTTAACTTTTTTTTATTTCATCGATATATCAAATAACAAAACTATATAACCATAAAATATATTTTGAAAAACATATAATTAAAAAAACTAGATATAATAAATATTCAAGGAAAAATTTATTCAAATTGTATGTTAACATATTGTAAACATAATGTAAACATAATGAGTATAATCTAACTTTTTTCACGATACTTTACTTATAGTATAAAATGACATAAAATATATAAACATGATGAATTTTTTTAAGAAAAACAGCTGCAAAAATAGTTCTTAGAAAAGTCAGAATTATCAGAGAAACAACAGGATTATTCATTCGAAAAACAATTCATAAAAGTTTCCAATTCTTTAACCGTCTTTTGCTTTCTTTGTTTAATTCTAAAGTTTTTTTTTAAGAGTAAAAGAGCTCTTAAAAGAGACTGAATTACTGAAAGTGATGTTAAAAATATCGCGAACCATAATGGGTTTGGGATATCACCTAAGGGAAAGGTGTTTAATAATTGATGAAGGCTTCAAACAGTTAAAAGACCATTAAGATCTATCGATTAACAAACCCTCTATTTTACCCTGCGATCTTTTCACGCGGAGACCATTGAACTATTTTGTTTATCATGATCCTATTGATGATATGGTATTATTATAGAGAAATTTTAAATGTAAACAAATATGTTGCTTTTTTTTTTGCTTAATTGTATTAATAAATTTGAATGTAGGTCTGTTTCTATTTCAGAATGCGTTTAGTATGGAATGCTGAATGTGAAGTAATTTTATACTTAGTGTAACCCCCAAAATAAAATATATAAAGTATGCAATAAAACTCAAATGTAATTACTTTTTACAAATACTTACACTTGAGCCCCGATGGCTCAATAGAGCATTTACCTTCCAATGAGGTGAACCGGGTTCGAATCCCAGCGATGGCTGTTCGATACGAATCCCAGCTATGACTGGTCGATACGAATCCCAGTGATGGCTGGTCGATACGAATCCCGCATCCGGCTTGCACCGACCGTAGTGCTGGCTTGAAATATCCTCAGTGGTAGACAGATCATGGGTTAGAGTGCCCTTGACGTCAGGCTAACCTTGAGATGTTCTCGTGGCCTCCTTCTCCATATAACGCAAATGCGAGTTAGTTCCATCAAAAGTCTTCCCCG